TGTGGTCCGGGACTGCTTTCCTGAATTGTCAGCCAGCTGCGGATCGCATTATACCAGTTTACGGGCTGGAATTGGCCCGCTGGGCCGATACTTTGAGCCCCTGATTTAGATCAACAGTTGCTATGGTGTAGCACACATGACACTGCCACTAAATGAATGACTTTCGGCTGCAGCAAGAGTTCACGTGGACATGTCTGTTTAAAAGTGTGAAAGCTGTAGGATCAGCATGGCAGTGAGCCAGCATTTCAAGGAGAAAAGTTCAGGCTCCATATTCGCTCAATACAAGTGCAGGAGACTGCGTTTTTTTGTTTTCCCTTTCTGGGGAAGGGGTGAGATCCTCTGTCAGGTTTTAATTGCTATTTCTGACACCATTGTGGAAATTCTCACCTATCACTAGGAAATGAGAGGAAGCGTCCCTTATGGGGACACGTACCGCAATAACAATCTGACACAGGTTCTCACTTTTACATGATATACTAAATGGGCATGATGGTGGCTTTGTAATATTTTCCATGAAGTTTGCTGTTAAATACGGGCACACTAAATCATTTTTCATTATGTCCAGAACAAGCAAGAGGAATGTTTAAACAAACAAGACTTCACAGAAAGCTTACTTATATAACATTGATTAGATAAAGAATAATATCAAGTGTGGATATCAGATCAGATTAATGCATAAAAATAAAATACCTTTAGGCTCTTTAATATAGTTTGCATGTTTGAAGATGTAATAAACGGCAGATGTCTCCAGGAATATATTCATAGCATATTCTCAGGCAGGTCTGTTCACACACTGTGCTGTGCTTGTTCTGGACCTCTGTGGGATAAATAATTTCCGGACATGGTACGGACTACATGATCTGCAGCAAGAGATGTATTAGGCTGCATTCAAATATGGCATTTACTGCACAAATCTTAACATGCACGCTGATTCTGCGTGTTTGAGGCTATTACTATAGTCGGAACACGCGGAATCCGCCTGGTAAATCGTGTTGATCCCAACCCTGATTAGTGACACACAAACTCGGAACTGACCTTTACTGGGCTAAAGGTGGCCATACACTTTACAACCATCGCAAGACCTTAGTCTTGCGATAGTTGTAAAGTAATGTAAAAAACGTACGATCTGCCCATCTTGGACAGTTAGATCGTACTTGCGATCATCGCAAGCCCGCCAGCCTGAGGGGCGGGCTTGCAATGACCGCAATGCTGAACGGGCAGTGTGCGTGTGCGCACACCGGCCCGTTCGGCATTTGTCTCCCGAGCATCATTCAAACCAGCCGAAAATCGTCCAATTTTCGGCTGGTTTTCTAACATGCTCCTTAGACAAAAGACGTGCGACCGTACAGTAGAAACGGTCGCACGTCTTCATTCACACTGCTCGATTCTCGTACGATCGCGGGATTTCCCGCGATTCTCGTACGAGAATCGTGCAGTGTATGGGCACCTTAAGTCATAGGTAATGAATATGCACAAATATTGGGCAATCTGATCTATCGCAGTTTATTTATCATATTCATTTTCATAGCTTTTAGACCCCACCCACCAGTTTATTAACAAAAAATTATAATTTAAAGTTTTTCTGGCTTCCTGTTTTCCTCATCCCCTTTGTGCTGAGAAATGGGGGGGCCCTAGATGCCAAGGCTAAAGTTAGCAGTGTCCGTGTGTTGGTTAACATGAATAAAACTGCATGTTTAATTTGCTTACCTAAAAATGATGGCAAAATGTATTTGTCACTTTAAAGTTGTCTTGAGAACAAGAGGTGAAAAGTAGTCTTCCACTTCGGGCACCCTCACTTAGGAGAGCTTTCCTTTCACTTGCTGCTGTGTCTTTGGGACAGGAAGTGAAGGGAAATCTCCCCAGAAAAAGCTGCAGACAGCAAAAAAATTCCAACTGCCGGTGTAGTAGGATTTCTGTAACTTTTAATATAAATTGATGAGTGCGTTTGCCATTTGTTTTGCTTTTAATATAAAGTTACACTGGTTTTTTCTTTTTAGTGGAGCTCAGTGTATACACACGAGGAGAGTTATGAGGGAGAGGGTTATGCACACTGTTGTGAAACGCTGTTATTTGTGACTTTAGTGTACCATTAAAACATGATCCCTTCCAGGCGAGGCATCCATGGAATGTTCCCTCTCCACTTGGCTGCACTGAGTGGTTTCTCAGACTGCTGCAGAAAGCTCCTTTCTTCAGGTTAGTGTTATTACCCGTAGCTGGGAGGATAATGTGATCATAAAATAGATTTTCAGCAATCACTTCCATGTTGCATTGATCAGATCTAAAAATAACTTTAAAAAAAAATCTGAGCTTCCATTAATAAACGATATTGAAATGACGGATGAATTTTAAGGATGTAAAACAATGTTCTGTGGTACTTCTGAAATGTAGTGTAACTAATGCATATTTGGCATGGGAATTGATAATTTTGCTCGGCCACTGATGTAAGCCGTTTATTTTAAGATGAATGTGGACAAAAACATGACAATTTATTTTGGAGGAATTAACATGGCAGGGCTTGTATTTCCTCATGTACCTCACACTTTGTAAGCAAAGGTTTTTAAAAGTAGCAGCCAGGTTATGAAAAATGCATTATTTGCATGTATTTAAAGTATATGTAAGCCAAAGAACAAACTTTATTTTGCAGATTACTAGTCCTAGATGTGGTTGCTGCATTAGGTCTTATTTTTATAACTCAAAGCATTTTTAGCCAGTACAGAAAATAGCTGTTAATCTTGTAAGAACTCCTATCATTGTCGGGTCTTGTGAGCTGTTCTGAAAGCAGAAGCAATGTTATGCAGTGGTACCTCGGTTCTGTTCGCCAACAATTTGGTTCGTGAACAGGAAGTTTGGCAAAATGTTGCTTCCGTTCATGAACTTTGCATTGGCTGATGAACACAACCGCAGCCATCTTCCCTGCTCTGACACATGGTCGTGGCTTCCTCTAGGTCGGGGTCTGATCACAGTGTGATTCGTTTCACGACCAGATTTGTGTAAGAAAAAAAAGTTTGTGAGCCGAGGTACCACTATATTTCCTTCTGTAAACTACTTTTGACCCAATTCCTCGTCTAATAGAGATATAGACAAGACGTATTTAAAATCCAGCCTAGGTGACCACCATGGCTGCCTGCTTAGATACAGTGGAGTGAGTGTTGCCACCTCAGGACAGTGTTAATCACATGATTACCTGGTGAATATAAATGGAAAAAGCCAGACGAAGGAAAACTAATGCTCCCATCTCATCTAAGGATTGGTAAGCTGCAATATATTTTTGTTTTTTGAGTTACCCTTTAACAAAAACAGTAAATGAGCTTTAACTCAAGCCCTCAATTTCTGTAGGCACATGCAACTGTGAAGCAATTCATACTCTGGGCTTGTTCACACTAGGTATAGTGACCTGCTCAAAAACAACACGGGTCACTGGCACAGCAAACAGTTATTTTCTATGTGCTCTGTTAAAGGAGAACTATGAGGTGAGTGCTTTTCACTCACCTCATAGTTCTAGCCGACCTGTGACAATGAGACTGTCACAGGTCGGCTCAGTAGATCGGGAGGTGAGCGAACACAAACCGGGTTCGCTCGCCTCTCGATCCTGTCACGACTCTCTGCCATGACAGGGGGAGGGGCTGGATCCCCCCCTCCCCGCTCCAATCTGCCAGCGCTGACTGGCGGAACGGACGGGGGAGGGGGCGGGTACAGCTGGCTCTGCCTCTAGATAGGCAGAGCCAGCTGTCACTCACGCAGCTGGGCGGATCCCGTCTAAGTCGGGATCCGCTCCGGCTGCGGCGTCTCAGTATACCGCGAGCTGTAGCTCGCGGTATACTGAGCTTAGGGTAACGGGAGGACGCTAGTTTGTGTCCTCCCGCTACCCTAAGGAGAACTATGGGGAAAAACACTGACCCCATAGTTCTACTTGAACACTTTCACGCTGATTGGAGGTGGGTTGCAGTGCGTTGCAGAAAAATGCAGACCGGCATTAAAATTATTCTTAGCAGTTTAAAGGAGAACTATGAGATGAGTGCTTTTCACTCACCTCATAGTTTTAGCCGACCTGTGACAATGAGACTGTCACAGGCCGGCTCAGTAGATTCAGTAGATCCTGTCACGGCTTTCTGCCATGACGGGAGGGGCTGGATTCCCCCCGCTCCGATCCGCCAGCGCTGACTGGCAGATCGGACGGGGGAGGGGGCGGGTACAGCTGGCTCTGCCTCTAGATAGGCAGAGCCAGCTGTCAGTCACGCAGCTGGGCGGATCCCCGCACAATTGTCGGGATCCGCTTCAGCTGTGGCGTCTCAGTATACTGCGAGCTGCAACTCGTGGTATACTGAGCCTAGGGTGAGTGACGGGAGGACGCTAGTTTGTGTCCTCCCATTACCCTAAGGAGAACTATGGGGAAAAGCCTTAACCCTGTAGTTCTCCTTTTAAGCTCTCCTTTGCCAACAGGTATTGGGCTGCCTTTCTGCATTGTAATCTTAAATGCAGTAGTGGTCAACTTAATAAATATAGGGGGCCTCAAAGGCAGACTTAACATGTCCAGATTGTTGCCCAATAGTTAGTTTTCGTAAATTTGCCATTAGTTCATTTCCTTGCGACACACCTACAAAAAAAAGTCTACTTTTGTAAAACATGTAATATTAAGATGAAATCAGGTCGGCTTTGTGCAGACAGGATTAGCACATCAGCGACATTCTCATGGGTTGGTGATGGTTAACATCTGAATGATATTACTGTTGCTCTTGCTTACGCAAGTGTTGGATGTTTACACAGTAGACGCTGATGTAATACAGAACATCCAGTGTATTTGTTATAAAGTGGGGATTAATGGGGGAGGTTATTATTTTGTCTGATTTCATAAATTTCGGGTCAGCCACAGTACCCACTGCCATGCGGCCAGCGCAGATATGTGGCAGACACAGAAGTTTTTTGTTCAGGTTCGGGGCCATACACAGACCGCCAGCTGGCCATTTGCTGGGAAGCAGGGCTCTAATATAAGCACAGATTAGGTGCTGTGGATGGAGGGAGTAGGGTGAGCTGAGCTATTTAGTGAAGACATCAGTAAATACTATGCTACGCTCAACTTTCAGAATGGTCTGATGTACGGTTCCTGCAGCTAGGAGAATGAGGGCTACTTTTAAAGCTTATTCACTACTTGTTAGGAATATACAGTATGTCAATAGCTTGGCCACAACTTAACCTTGTATCTACTATAAAAATGTAAAACCTCCGTCAGGCTTTTCTAACGTTCTTCGTCCTTGATGGAGAAGTATATTAATATCACTGCGAAATTTACTTGCATTGTTATTATAATTTTTTTGACCAGTACTTTGTAGTGTTTGACGCAGTCTGGGCACCATGTTGAAAAGGTTGATATGAATCATCTTGTGTGTGAGCTTCTGTTTTTTAATTTTTCTTATATACTGACATGTTTTTATATTTGTAGGGTTTGACATAGATACTCCAGATGACTTTGGCAGGACTTGTCTACATGCAGCTGCAGCTGGAGGGTATGTCCCAGTAACCTGTCTATAAGCATTTAGCTGTGGGTAGTGGCAGCTGTCATTGTATTATACAGCACCTCTTGCCCACAGCAGATCCCATGAGTCTCACATGGTCCCATTTGCAAGTGTGTGTCTGTGTGTGTGCATTTTATGTGCTTTTTGTTTTGAGGGTGGAAAGACCACACTGACAGAATTGCTGAACATGACTTGAAAAACAAACCAAAGGTGGATTTGCGCAGGATAGACATCTGATTAGCTCTGCTGCTATTTTTTTAACACTAGGCATATTTCTAGAGTATGGGAAGCCTAAAATACACTTGAATAGATCCCTGTCAGTGAAAGTGCTGAATTCTGTAATATAATCACTGGAACTGCAAATCATTTTACTCTTACAGGTTTTTTTTTGGCCCTAATAATTCAGCAGATTAGAAATGGGTGTCATACTTCTTTGAGTATTTTTCTCTGCCAGTGTCATGGTGTTGGTTTTTATTGCTGTGATATTATACTCTTGATCACCGGGATGATCAAAATTGTACCTGAGAGGTTCTGAAAAGGGTTAAAAACTTTAATTTTTTGACAGCTAAAACAAAATGACATGTATAAATATTTCAGTTCTTATGACAAGGTAAAATACATATGCCCTTCACGTAAACAAGAGAGATAACGGGGCTTCTGTTGTTTTGCAGTTCTTCTGCAGTTTTTTTAATGAAACTGCTTGTTCCCTGGCTTTTAGCTGACATACTGGCGTTTGTACTCTCCAGGTCCTCAACCTGGAACAAGTATACAGGTGTTGAAAGTTGGTTTTATACTGGGTCACTGACTCGTATATTGAAGCCAGAAAGTCTGCATGAAATCCAGGCAACGCTGTGTTTTGCTGTGCAGTAGAATGTCACACCAACACACTTGAACCGTAGCTGCCAACCCACCTGCATTACAGTACACCAGAACACCAATAGCATACATTACGATGTAATGAATTGTCAAATTATTCAGGTGTTTTATGCATGTGTTAAGATGCGCTGCCAGCCTATTTAAAATGAATGGGCTGCCCTAACATAGCTCACCTTAATGCACAAAAATGGGTTGCTTTATCACAGTGTATATACTTTTGAGTGGACCCTTACAGATCCCTGTGTTGAGAGAAATGCATACTGTCATAGCTGACCCCTCCAACTAAAAAAATGCTGTCTAGCTAACAATTTTAATGCTTTTGCTGTGAACTTTTGAGGGCCTGTTCACCGTCTAGACCAGGGGTTCCCAAAAGGTCGATCGTGATCTACCAGTTGATCGCAAAGCTTTTTCTAGTAGATCGCGATCGCAAGTTGGAATTAGCTGCTCCGTTTATTTGGGTGCTCAGCTGCTGGTGGCCGGGTGTCGTTTTCTGTGTCGGCCAGCAGGTGGCGCTGTGTCCTGGCACAGCCGCTGACACTCGAAGCTGTGGCTCAGCATGCAGCTGCTCTGGGGGGAATCTGTGAGCTGATCCCTTGGGGGACACAAATCCTACACAGGCCTGGGCAGGGTGAGTGGAGGGGGCATTGTGTACCGCAGCCTGTGTTATCTCTTCCCACTGTACACAGCCGTGTACCCCACCTAACAGACCATGCCCTCACCTACAGACCATTCTCCCCCCTAACAGGACTGTGCCCTCACCTCCAGACCATGCCCCCACCTAACAGGACTGTGCCCTCACCTACAGACCATGTCCTCACCTAACAGGACTGTGCCCTCACAGACTGAGATTAGAAGTGTTAGTTTTTTTTTTTCTTTATTATAGGTAATAGGTTTTATTTTACCATTATAGGTAATAGTCCCATAGTTTACCTCCTCTGATAAGAGTGCAAGGTCTAACTAAGGGCCCAGTCATAATAGTACAGTGTGTTCATCGCAATCACACCAACCTCTGTTTTTTGTTGTAGGAGGTGCGTTGCGGTGCCAATCGTTGGTAGATCTCATTGAGCTGCTCATATAAAAAGTAGATCTTGACACAAAAAAATGTGGGCACCCCTGGTTTAGACAGTATACATTTTCTTTAGCGGCAAGGAATATAGAAACTATTAGGAATGTAAAGGAGGTCATTGATTCTTTCACATATATTGTCTCGGGATCATAGGGATGGCGTAGTACTGATTTGAAACTGCGCAGATGTTCATGGTTTGACCTGTAAGACTTGAGCACGCTGGCACTGGTTGGGATTTTTTTAACCCTTTCAAAATCTCATCATTTTCAGGAACCTGGAGTGTTTGAATTTGTTGCTGAATACAGGTGCAGATTTCAATAAAAAGGATAAGTTTGGGAGGTAAGTCTGTATGTATTTACCTGGGTGTTAAACATCACCTGGCTTTTCTTAAAGTTCTTTATTGTCTTTTTATGCTTTTCCAACTTAACAAATACACTTAAATACATTCAAAAATTACCATTTAGTGTTGTCAGTGGGCAAAAAAAGATGCATGTTTCCTGACTCCAACTTTGTTGACATTGTACTAGATAGTTATTAGAGTGGCAAATTGACTCTGCTGCTGTGAGCCCTGGCATTTCTAATAGGGAATGGCGCACTAAAAATGCCGCGGCCTCATTAGATTTCGTTTTCCTTTAGAACCTTGTCAGTAAAATGATTGCATGCTATATTATATCAACATATATGCATCATTCTCTGTGCTGATGTATGAAAGGCATTAGTAACTTTAATACTCTAAAACAACGGTGGTGATGTAGGGTACCTTAAGTGCAACCCTTGACATAACCAAAGGGCTGCATATAATTTTTCAGTAAATGTAATGCTACTGAAAGTTGTCAGACTGCAGACATGCAGCAGGATATGGTAAACTATGGGCTTGCTACAAGGGATGGTCAGAGGTTATGGACTTGCTACCATAAATTGTAGGAGCTGTTCGAGAAAGATGACCTATTTCAGGAGACATAGGCTGGAAACACTACATGAGACAACAACAGAACACTGCTTTTACTGGCAATAGGGAAATACAAGTTACTGTCTATAGAAGCCTAGAGGGCTACGCAACAAGTGCCAAATAGGTTACTGGTTGCGTGCCAGGACTCGAGTTTTATCAAAGAAATTAACTTTTTTTTTTTTCCAAGTTTGCGAATCTTATATTTTAACTATTTATCCCTGTTCCCTACTCTCTTTATCTGAAGAACACCACTGCACTATGCTGCTGCCAACTGTAACTATCAGTGCCTATTTGCACTTGTGGGATCTGGAGCCAGTGTCAATGACCTTGATGAGAGGGGCTGTTCCCCACTGCACTATGCAGCTGCATCAGATACAGAGGGCAAGTAAGTTGTCTTCATGTCTTGTATGTGTTAGTGGTTTCACAAGACTCATGCTATGTGCAGTGGAACGTAAGCATTTGTCTTGTGTTGACGAGAGAGAATGTAGCCTTTTAAGAAATGTGTTCTGGACTTGTTCTTCATGCCAGTGCTGACTGTCACGCAGCCTGCTACCTCCACAAAGAATCACTTGTTTTCTCTCCATACCCAGCCTTTTTTTCCTGCAGTCATTTTCAGCCACACTGAGGATATCTGTAATTAAAAGGTCAGCTCAAATCACTTTTCATAAAAATATATTGTGTTCTCACAGTTGAATCTTTGTACTTGAATCTGATTTTTCTTTTTTCTTTTTCAATTTCAGTTT